GAACCTGTCGCCACTTTCGAGGCCTGCTGTGATCCCCGTTTTCGAAGTGGCTAGGAGTGCTCAGGAATTGTAAATCATCAGCTTTATCAAGCCCTTTTCCTATAGCCAGTGTCCTGCGAGTCTCCCGAATTCCGTCTGCAGATATATGTAACCCTCGCTCCGTCATCGCCCCCTTATAAAGTATCCTAAACTATTTGCGCCCCGCTTTTGCGCAGGGGTTGGGTACGTCGCCAGGGTAATTTTATTTATAAAAAAAACTCGATCTTGACATCTTTCCGAAACCGAAGGGTTTTGCAGGATTCCGGCATGCGCGCGCGACGACATGCGCGTGTGCATGTCGTCATATGTTTTGCAAGGGACCCTTGAAAACAGATGATGTTTGGTAAACGAGTGTGCGCGCATAGTAATTGTTGCAGAGGATGGCGAGGGGAACCGATGCCGGTTTGGCTGGGGTACTGTGAATTCACAGGTAGGATGGACATTGGGTAAGGATCATACGTGTTTTACATCGGTTCCCGGGGGGTCTTGAAGTCCGGGGGGGAGGGAGAGGGTGGTAGAATTTATGGTCTTTTTTGGCAAATATCAGTGGTGCAATCTTTGTGGTGCAATAGATGTGGTTCGCTATGTATGCGGTGCAATCGACGTGGTGTCTATGCGGTGCTATACATCGGGTGCAATCCATGCTGTGCAGTCAATCTTGACCGTCTTGAAGCTGTCCTCTCCGCTGCTCGTGCATACATCCCACCCTCCCACCCGCAACTTGGTCGCAAGACCTCTTCAGACAAGACCGTGACGGTAGGTACCACATGGCACTTGGCCACGACACTGACGCCGACGACGACAGCGACATCGACGACGACGGCGCCCCCGACACCGACTGCGACGACACCGACGACGTCTCCAATGCTTTCGACGACGACAACGACGACGACACCGACGACGACGACGACAACGACGCCGACGACGACGACGAAGACGACGACGACGTCGCCAACGGAGACGACGACGAGGGAGGAGAAAAAAACGACGACGGCGACAACGACGACAACGACGATGGAGGAGGGAAAACGGCGACGACGCCAACGACGAAGAAGGAGGAAGGACGGCGACGCCGACGACGACAACGACGAGGGAGGAGGGAAGACGACGACGACGACAACGACGACGACGACGACGGCGACGAAGTAGGATGGACGACGACGAGACGTCGACGACGGACGACGACGACGACGAGGGAGGAGGATAACGACGAGGGAGGAGTGAAGACCACGACGATGACGACGACGACGACGACGGCGACGAAATAGGAGGGACAACGACGAGACGGCACGAAGACGACGAGGGAGGAACGACGACCACGGCGACAACGACGACGGAAGCGACGTCGACGCCAAGACGACGGCGACGACGAGGAAAGACAGAAGACGACGACGGCGACGACGACGACGACGACGAGGGAGGAGGGAGGACGACGACGACGACGACGACGCAACAGCGCGCGCGCACGCTTTTGTTGAAAACCCGTGTTGCGAAACCTTGTGTTCTTGTAGGTTTTTTGGACGCACGATTTTGAAATCCTTCCGAAACCGACGGTTTTTGAAGGATTTCGGCATACGCCCGCGACGACGCGCGCGTCTGCACTTCGTCCCATTTGTTGCAGAGGATTCTCGCGACGGCACACGCGCAAGGGTGTTCGACAGATTTCGACATGCGCGCGCGCGAAGCCCGTTTGGTAGCATTTTGTGAAAATCTTGAAAAACCAATGGTTTTCTCAAAATTTCGCAAGAGCTCGCGCGTAAGCTTTTTTAGCAAATCAGTGTTGCGAAACCCTGTGTTTTTTTGTATGTTTTTTTTGGAAACTCGATTGCGAAATCCTTCCGGAACCGAAGGTTTTTGAATGATTTCGGCATGCGCGCGCGACGACGCGCGCGTGTGCACTTCGTCCCATTTTTTCCAAAGGATTCGCGAAAAAAGTGCTATGTTAGAGCAAAACATGTCACCGCATAGTGTTTTTTTTACAAGGGGACCTCAGGGGGGGGGAAACTGGCCTGGCTGGGATGGTATGATTTCATATTTCGGATCGACGAGTGTGCAGAACATATATGAAATTATATTATCCCAGGGGGAAGCGTTAAGTCCGGGGGGGGGGGGAGTCTATTCTCTTTTTAGAAAGGAGAATCTATATGGAACAACCACTGTGGTGCAAGTGAGTTGTGCAATCTATGTGGTGCAACCTATGTGGTGCAATCTATGCGGTACAATCTTTGCGGTGCAATGGGTTTTCGCCCATGATTTGACACATCCCATGCTCTTGCAATCATCCCACCCACCCAGAAGCAACTTGGCTTGCAAAACCCATGCGAGAGCGATTGCGATGAGTGCTGGGTGTTGTCTGGTGCATCTCTGCGGCCGCGTTAGCCCGCGCATGCTCGCGCGCGCAGCGGCCAGCTAGTTTGGCGCGACCGACGCGAAATCGGTAGCGCTGACCGCTCGGCACATCCCAGCGGGCATTCCAATGCGAGTCGGCGACTTGGGCGGGCGCGGTATCATGGCAACGTCGACAACGGTAGACACGATGATGCTAGTAGCGATGCTGGTGACGATGCTGGCAGCAACGACGGGGCAGCCAGTGACGGCGCCGATGCTGATCACGCCGACGACGATGACGGCGTTTTCGCGTCGGTGATGAAGGTTTTGGAAAAAATTCGAAATGCGCGCGCGGCAGACGCGCGAAAGTGGCACGCATGGAGTTATTTGACACGGGTCGTGCCGCCCCAGCACGATTGCGAGGGCGTTCGGACGATTTCGACATGCGCGCGCGAAGCCCGTTAGAGAGCAGTTTATGAAGTCGAATAGTTTTTTCGGGGGGGGAAGTCGCAAGACCGCGCGCGCACGCTTTTGTTGAACATCCGCGTCGCGAAACATTGTTTTTTGGACAGTAGATTTTTCCAAACTCTTTCCGGAACCGACGGTTTTTGAAGGATTTCGTTTCGTTTTTCCTAGGGACGTTTGAAAACCTCCGATGTTTGATAAACGAATGTGCGCGCAGAGTGCTTGTTACAAGGGAACCGAGGGGGGCCGAAACCGGTTTGGCTGGGATAGCATGAATTCACAGGTAGGATGGACATTGGGTCAGAATCGTGTGTATTTTGCATAGGTTCCCAGGGAACTGATAAGTCCGGGGGGGAAGGGTGGTATAACCATTTTGTTAAGAAAAAAAGAACATCTACGTTGTGCAACTTAGGCGGCGACGGGGCGGCGACGGTGACAACATAGCCGCCAGACCGACCATCAGGCCCAAGCGACGGGCGGCGAAGAAGCGGCGACGGGGTGGCGACGGCGACAGCATAGCCGCCAGACCACCGACAACCAGGCCCAGTTCCGTAGAAAAGAAGTAGGAAGTCCTAAGAGCAAGCGCTGTTCGGGACCTTCGGGATTAGTTGCCGACACCGAAGGACAGGCCGGAAACTCCAGGGATTCCGCCAGTATGGAAAGAGCACGGCATCGGATCTCTGGGCGGGACGGGGCTAGGACGAGGACAAATCCGTCCCAGCGCGTTCTGGAATGCTCTCAGAACATCCCAGGCCGCTCCGACAGGGCCCCGGCGGCCGACACCTCCCCCGTAGCCGCTAAGTCTCGGAGATGTCCGATTCATCCTCGGTCGAAGTTGTCCTCGTCCTGGCTTCGCTTGACGAGGATCGCCGAGGATAGCCGAGGAACGGAGCGCACGTCGAGGATGGTCGACGTCGTCCCGGTCTCCGTGCGGCTCTCCAGGGGTTCTCGTCGCCACGGCCGTCCGCAGCTCGAAATGCCGGCGAGGGTGGACCCCGGGTGGGGTCCACGGGCCGATCCGGGCCGGATTCTGACGGCGGCGGCCGCGGCAGCGGGCGGAGTGCGGAGCCTCTCGGGGGCATGGTCTGAGGAGGGCGCGTGTCTGCGACCTACTGCGAACCCTGCCCCAGACGGGTCCACTCGGCACTGACGTACCGCACCACATCCCCGCTGAGGTTCGCCCGGCTGCAGACATCCGCCAGAATCTGACTTGCCGCAGCTTCTGCCGCAGCGTCTAAGAAAAAGTCAAGACACATGTGAAATGCCTCAGCCAGTTTTTCAGAAATACGACTCGTGGAGGCAGGGTGTACATTTGGTTCTGTACAGGTGGGAACCCGGGTCTGGGGGCCAGGTCACCCACGCCACTGCGCTCTTCGCGCCCCGGGGCCCGTGGGGCTGGAGAGGTACCCATCGCAATGGCAGGCCGCGCGAGAGCGCGGAGATGAGCGCTCGTCAACGTTCCGAACATCCAGCGTCTCGTCAAGGTTTTTGGCCGCCTTCGACCTCCCGGGGCCTTCGCTGGCCCCAGGACAGCCAAAATGACACCCTCTGGGGAAGAATCTCCAACTGGCTTCACGCAGTTCACGATGGGAGGTCGCGATGGGGGGCCACTGCGGGGGACCACGGCTGGAGGCTACGATGGGCCACCGACTTTGTAGGCCCAGGCTCCCTCACCAGGCGTCAGCAGAACGTTTATTTCAGACCCTTCCAGACAAGCTGCTTAGGCAAATTGACTTTGGATGAAAAGCCTGGCCCCGGGAACGAGTCGGGACTTCAGAGGACCACGAATTGAAGCATGACAACATCGTGTGTCTGGGCGACCTTGTCGTATGAGAGGCATTACGCAAATCAGGGTTGGCCAGAGGTAAGGGTTGGCTGGGAGTTTGGAGGCTTGGCCAGGGTTGGCCTGTGGGTTGTTTGAGGTTGGCCACAGGGTTGGCCAGCGTCATGCTTCAAGTGGTAACTCTTTCGACAGGATCTGCTGCGCTGACCTGGGGGGAGGGCTCCGCCCTTTGGGGAGGACCAGTGTGGGCTTCGGGAGGGCGACACGCTGGGAGGTCGATCTGGCCTGGGGGTCCCGCGGAACAAGTCCGAGCCCAGTTTGGGCTGCGAGCCCGTCACCTATCCTGGAGCTCTTCCGCCCTCCGACCGAGGCCATCAAGGCGGTGATGACGGCCTCGGACGAGTCTCGGCGCCTGGGCCACAACTTCGTGAGCACCGAGATGCTCCTGGTTGGCATCGTCGCCCAGGGGTCGGGGGCCTCGGGGCGGGCGATGAAGAAGCTGGGCTCGTGAGCGGCAAACCTGCCCACACTCACGGCTGCGCGGCCTGGGCTCCTCGGCCGCGACCCCTCCGGACACCACGGGGCCACCTCCAGCGGATGCCTCGCGCGAAAAACGTCTCCACGGGATCGCGCACCCGTGGGATCGGGCCTCGATGCCCACCGACGGCGCGCCCCCCGGGGGAAGAGGGGCAGAGGGGCGGGTCCCCCTCGGAGTGTCTGGAGGCCTCGGGCCCTCCGAGGAGCTCTCGAGGCAGTCATGCGAGGCCGCGGGGGGGGCTCTTCAGAAGGCCGGAGGGCCTCCGAGGAGCCCCGCCGCCCTCCGAGAGGGCCTGCCCCCCCCCCTTGCAATACCCCGCCTCCCCCCCCCTCGGCGCGCCGCCGAGTCCAGACCGCGACGGCGTGGGCGTGGTCCCGTCTGTGGCTCGTGGCAGGCATCACGGTCAAGGACGCCCGCAGGGCGACGGAGGAGCTTCTGGGGCGAGGAGGCGACTCGGTGAGCACGGACGTGCCGTTCACGCCGGCCGCGAAGCGGCTCCTCGCGGACAGCATCAAGGAGGCGAAGAAGTTCGGCACCACCACGGTCGACACGTCGCACATCCTCCTGACCATCTTCGGGCAGAAGGAGGATCGAAGAAGACACTGCGTAAGCAGAAACGTTCGGAGCTCCGCGCGGATATTTCTTGGATCGGCACTGGACCCCTTCACTGGCGCGCGGAGCGCGCAGCGCCGGCGCGGATTCCGAACGTTTCAGTTGATGCCTTTCTTTGTTCCTCTAGAGGAGAGCGTGGTCAGCTTCTGTGAGAAGCTGAGCATCGACCCGCAGAGGGTACCGGAGGAGATCACGATGGAGCTCGACCAGCTGCAGGCGGCGGCCGAGGGCGAGGAGGGCATGCTCGCTCAGGGCGACGGGAAAAAGAAGAAGACGGGCGACTCGGCACTGCTGGAGTTCGGCAAGGACCTGACGGAGTTGGCCGCCGCGGGCGAGATGGACCCGCTGGTCGGCCGCGAGGAGGAGATCGAGCGGGCCATCCAGATCCTGGCGCGGCGGCAGAAAAACAACCCCGTGCTCATCGGCGAGCCGGGCGTGGGCAAGACCGCGATTGCCGAGGGGCTCGCGCTGAGGATCGCGCAGGGCGCGGTGCCCGACATGCTTGAGAACAAGCGCGTGATCGAGTTGGACCTCGGGACGCTGCTTTCCGGCGCCAAGTACCGTGGCGAGTTCGAGGAGCGGCTCAAGAACATCATCACCGAGGTGCGGGAGAGCGGGGACGTCATCCTCATGATTGACGAGATCCACACACTGGTGGGCGCGGGCGGCGACGGCGGGGGCGCCATGGACGCCGCCAACATCCTGAAGCCAGCTATGGCACGCGGGGACGTCCAGATCATGGGCGCCACCACGGTGGAGGAGTACCGCAAGTATGTGGAGAAGGACAAGGCGTTGGAGCGTCGCTTCCAGCCTATTCCGAAGAACAGAAAACACGCGACCTAAGCACAGACTTTCGAGGTTTCGAGGTTCGAGGTTCGAGATTTTCTGACCTTTTCGCTGGTTCTCGGTGGCTTTCCAGCCTTGGGATGCCTTCAGCGGCTGCGCCTCGCTGAGAGCGTCCTGGGGGTGCACGGATTGTCCCGCACGGCCGCCGAGTAATGACGCGAAGGCCACCGCGGAGGTCTGCGCGGGTTTCTCGGGTTGGCGCTGGACTCCACCAGCCCTGGCGCGTTTTGCGCTCCAGGCGCGGCGCTGGCGAAGCCGCCAGAAGGGGGGGTGGTCAGCGCCGACGCCGACCTGATAAGTCTTCGCGGACCTCCGAGAGTCCATGTCTGTGCCATTCATTGGAGACCCGTGGTCGCGAAAAACCACAGCTTTGCACAAATTCAGAACCCAAGCTCTAGGTCACATCTTTCTGCTGCATTTTTCGAGCTGATCCATCCGTGAGGGTCCCGGGGCCCGAAACAGGGCAAGATCGCCCGTGTGTGGACAAATTGCCACACCAGGATCTCAGGGGACCTCCGAAAGTTGGTGCCTGTGCCGCTTTGTAGTTCCGTCTGCTCATCGCCCCTCCCCGCCATCCAAGCTCGGATGGTTATTGCTGCCGTTGGCTGCGAGACCCCAAGCGGTCTCTGAGCTCGGCCGGGCATAGACGCGCACGCTTCACTGCCTGCGCCCGACTTTCTACGTCCCGTCGCCGCGCGCGGTGCCGCGACACCAAAAAATCAGCCGTTATCTGTTCTTCTGCCATCAGCGTGCCCGAGCCGACCGTCGACCAGACGGTGCAGATCCTGCGAGGCCTGGCGCGCAAGTACGAGTCGCACCACAAGCTTCGCTTCACCGACGAGGCGCTCTCCGCGTGCGTCAAGCTGTCCTCGCAGTACGTCCAGAACCGTTTCCTCCCAGACAAGGCTCCTCCTCCCTCCCCACACTCGGCTCGTGTCGCGACAGAATCACGACGCAAGGCTTTCTGGCCGTTGTTGGTCTCTGGGGGGTCCTCGGCACGCAAGCCCCAGGGCCATCAATACAACAACTCGGGGTGAAAAGCTGGCGCTGGGGGCAGGGTCGGGACTTGACTCCCCGGGGTCCGCATTGACGGGAGCAAGACATCGCATGCCTGGGCCCCTCTCTCCTCCCCCCACTCTCTCCCTCCCCATCTCTGGAAGAGCAAATTCCTCGCGCGGATGTCTCGGGCCAGCGTTTCGGCCCGCCTGCGGCTCCGCGCGCCGCGGAAAGTGTACGGGGATGGGTCCCAGTGCCGACCCAAGAATTCCACGAGGAACTCCGCGAGGACCTCCGAAGCCATCTGTTTAGGCAGTTGTTTGTTTTTCTGCTCGCTCCTCCTCCTCCTCCTCCTCCTCCTCCTCCTCCTCCATCTCGGCCGGTGGGGTGTCCTCCCTCTTTCTGTCGCAGAAGTGGAGGCGGTTTCCACTGCATGTGATATCTGTATGTATGTATGTATGTAGGTAGGCAGGTAGGTAAGTAGGTAGGCAGGCAGGTAGGTAGGTATGAAGGTAGACATGTATGTATGTATGCATGCACGTATGTATGTATGTATGTATGTATGAATGTATGTATGTATGCATGCATGTATGTATGTATGTATGTATGTATGTATGTATGTATGTATGTATGTGTGTATGTATATGTATGTATGTATGTATGTATGTATACATGTGCATGCATGCATGCATGCATGCGTATGTATGCATGTATGTATGCATGCATGCATGCATGTATGTATGTATGCATGTATGTATGTATGTATGTATGTATGTATGTATGCATGTATGTATGCGTGCATATACGTATGTAATGCATGTATGCATGTATGTATGTATGTATGTATATGTGTGTGTGATACGTATGTATGTATGTATGTATGCATGTATGTATGTATGCATGTATGTATGTATGTATGCATGTATGTATGTATGTATGTATGTATGTATGTATGTATGTATGTATGTATGTATGTATGTATGCATGTATGCATGCATGCATGCATGCATGCATGTGCATGCATGCATGCATGCATGCATGCATGCATGCATGCATGCAGGCAGGCAGGCAGGCAGGGAGGGAGGCAGGTAGGTAGGTAGGTAGGTAGGTAGGTAGGTAGGTAGGTCGGTATGTATGCATTTATAACGTGGCTTCAGGTTTTCGCCGAGCACTTGAAGTCGGCAGCACTGGCAGCACTGCACTCCACTCGATGCGGGCCCGCGAGGCGGCACATGGCTCGGCTGGCACGCTCGTCTCATCCTCGTCCTCCTGCTCCTCCCTCCTCCTGCTCCTCCTCCTTCTGCTCCTCCCTCCTCCTCCCTCCTCTCTCTTCGTTTTCCTCCTCCTCCCTCCTCCTGCTCCCATCGTGGAGCCCCTACTGGGCCCGAGGTGGGCCCGCCGCGCGCGCGTGTGGGGGGGGGCACTGCGCGGAGGGAGCCGCGATGGCTTCGGCGGCGGCCTGATGGGGAAGGCGCTCCAGCTGTACATCGCGTTCGGTACGGCGAAGGCCCATGACGCAGGGCCCGTCCTCGGGCAACTCTTCAAGGGCATCAGCGGGACAGCCGAGCAGGACCTGGAGTGGCAGGTCATCATCTGTCAGGATGTCGTGCTCGAGTTCCACGGCGAGGGCGTTCGCAGCGGCGGCGTTAGGCCTCAGCCTAGCCTAGCTGGGCCTGGACTATGGGCCACCGACTCCGTCGCCCCAGCAGGCGCCTTCGAAGTCGAAGGTGAAGGAGACCGCAGCGGTGGCGCTGGACCTGGGCTATAGCGCGCTACGCCCGCCGCCTTCGCAGGAGCTCCGCGACCTGAGCTACGGGCCGCCGCGGGCGGCGCAGAGGCCTGCCCCCTGGGTTTCGGCAGCCGCACCGCCCGTGGAGCTGAAGAAGGTCGTCAAGAAGAAGAAGAAGAAGAAGGTCGAGCTTGCCTCGCAGGAGGATTTCAAGCAGATCTTCGTCATGTGCCAGAGCCGGGGACGCTGGCGACGACTTCGGCCCCGTCAGCGGTGGCCACGACTCGGCCTCTGAAAAAGAAGAACATGTAGAAGGCCTCCAAGAAGTTTTACAATGGGAAGGACTCGCGGGATTATGTCGACAGGAACACGCTCACGGGGGAGCGCGTGAGGATTCTGCTCTCCAGGATAATATTCGAGAGCCGGCGCCGTCTCGGGAAGAGGGAGGTGGAGTAATTCTACTGGGTGCTGAAGGAGGGCTCACGGCTGGGAGTGGCGATATCGCGAGGGATGCGTCTCAGCGTGCGGCTGGCGATCGTCTCGATGGTGCTCGTAGTGCTGTTTGTCACGGTGCTGCGAAGAAGCTGTATTCGGGGGCCCTCGGCCTCAGCGACGAAGACGGCGACAGCAAGGACGCTGGCAGCGGCGGGATCGCTAAGGCCGTGCCGGGTGCGACTGGCGATCATCGCGAAGGTGCTCGTGGAGCTGCTGTGCATAGCGATGAGAAGCTGCACTCGGAGGCCTTCAGGCTCATCGACGAGGGCGGCGATGGTGACATCAACGTGCAGGATATTGGCGCTGTCTTGCACCTGCTCGACGGCTACACGGCGGAGGACGAACCGCATGACATGGTCAGCGAAGTGGGATCCAGGAAGGGCGATACGATCTATTTGCCCGGGCTCCTGCTCTTAATGGCTGAGCTGGACTTCTGCAAAGGTTCCGAGGCAGGCGAAACTGATCGAGATGGTGTGGCCCTTGCCTGCTTCTACATCTGCGAGGAGCCCAGCGCCGCCACCAAGAAGAAGAAACATAATAATATTTCAAAGAGGAAGAGACACTAATAAGAAGACACATATTATACTAAGAAGAATAATTATGTCAATAAAACGAAGAATGATAATAACACCAAGACTAATAGCAGTAACAACAAGAAGAAAGAGGCCCTGAAAGCGGCGCCGAAGGCGCCGCCCTCTCCGCTGGCGCTGCGGACCAAGGCTGCCTTGTCGGTGTCGCCCTGGGTTGCCAAGCGTCGCAGCAAGTCGCGATGAACCCGCCGAGTCGCTGGCTGGAGCACCTCTTTCTGGGCACTCGCGTAAGCCGCCGCGCCAGCGACGCTAAGGCGGGCCCTTGCTGTCGCCAGCGCTGCAGTGAGTCGAGGCGTCGCTGCGCGGTCTGCGGCCTCAGACGGCGAGCCCTGGTCGGCTCGCGCGGCGTCCTCCACCGCGACCCAGGATGCCAGCTGGGCGGCGTCGGCCCGCAGCGCCGCTCTCTGGAAGCCCGCGCCCCCGAGCTTCAGCGGGAGGAGCAGCAGCGCCTTGCTGACGTCTGGGAGCTGCGTGCCGAGCAAAGTCGATACCGCGGCTGCGACGGCCTCTTCATAGCACTGCCAGGCCCCCGCGGCTGCGGCACGAGCGCGCTGGAAGTGCGTGACCGCACCGTTCTCGCAGCAGCGCAAGAGCGTGACCACGTGTTGCGCCTCCGGCCCGGCCGCCAGTAAGTTAACGAGCTTGCCCGCGTGGGTGCGCAGACGCTCCGTGGCCAGCTCTTGCGCCTCTGCATCCTCCACGCCAGCGGGCACATCTCGTCAGTCCTCCTCATCCCGCTGCTTCTCTGGCCGCGGGCGCGCACAAGAGGTGCGACTCCCAAGGCATGGAAGCTCTCCCACCACGTACTGGGCCAGGTCTGCGGGCAGGTCGGCTGGCGGGCCTGCCGGGAACCATTCGCGTGTTTTCGGTTCTCGCAGGTTTCAGCCCGAGCTTGCTGAAGAGGCGCCGTGCCTCAGCCAGGGCGCTTCGGAGGTGCCGGCGCGGGACAGCCAAGTACACGTCACCTAAGTAAGCTTACGCCCAGGAGTCCGCAGAGCGCTGGCGTGCAAAGTCTCGGCTGCTCTCCAGCGCAGGCGCCACGTCGATGGCAAAGAGGGCAGGGCTGAGCGGACATCCCTTGTCTAGGCCGCGCAGCTGCTGCGCCAATCTGGCTACGTTCCCGCCTCCGCGGGCCACATGGGTTGTAGGCCTGTCATACCACTGGCGAGTCAGAGTCTCCATAACTGGGCACCTCGCCCAGAGGGCTCGGAAGACGCTGCGTCTCTGGATGCAGCAGAGAGCATCCGCCATGTTGCCTGCAAGGGAAGCGGATGCGTGATCTGTAAACTGCTCCGCCTTGGCGTTCAGCGTCTTGTACAAAGCGTTCGCGCCAGATGACTGTCCCACGCCGTACTGACAATCTCCGACTGCGTCTTCAAGGGCGGCCCGTCCCGCCTGGAACACTGGTCGGCCGACCAGTCGGCGCGGGGCAGACCTGCAGGCATCGAAGAAGAAACAGCGACATAAACATAAACGTTTGGCGATCCGCTCCGAGCGCCGAAAGTTTATGATTCTGGTGTTTTTTTCTGCCCCTTCTGAGGCAAGCACTCGGGCGCCGTCGTCTTGCTTGGCCAGGCCCGGCAGCCTCCCCGCCACCGCCACAATGCCAGGGCCTACCGTGGCACATCCTCCCCAGCGAGCGCGGCCAGCACCGCCCGCGGCCTCTCCGCGCTCACGGCCGTGTGAGCCAGCGGCCGCCACGTGCTCGAACTGGTCACCCTGCGGACCGCCTCCGGCCCCTTGGGGCGCTCTGTGACAGTGGCACCGCAGGCATGCCTCCACACCTCGACGCAGCTGGCGTGCGGACTCGGCACCGGCACGCCCGTCCACAACGGGGGCATCGGGCATTCGCGAGCCCTGCTGCGAGAGGTATGTTGCGGCTTCGGCTGGCGTGCGCATCGCGGACGGCCCCCAGGCGGCAGCAGCAGCCCGGCCGAGCTCGCTATTCATCGGCGAACTTCGCACACATACACCGAGCGGTCTGGCATGTTTGGCGCCCCCCCGTCTCGGGAGGTGGTCGCAGTATCGCCCAGGAGGATGTGCCAGCGTCCAGCCCAGAAGTCCTCCAGCCGCTCGGACACCTTCGCCGTCACCGTGGTGCCTGCGTCGCTTCTGCGGCCCGCATAGAGCTGCCCGAGAAGCATGCGGTCCATGCTCGGCAAGCATGGCCACCCCTCGAGGGCGTCGTACCCCTCCTCCTCCTCCTCCTCCTCCTCCTCCTCCTCCGCCTCCTCGTCCTCGTCTGTGTCCACGAGATGGGGGCGCGGGAACGCGGACACGGGAGGATGGAAGCCGTTTGGGAGGTCTAAGGCCGTGTCGGAGGCCCCCGGCCTTCTTCAGGGCATTTTCGGCTCCTCGGAGCTGGGGGAACTCCTCTGAGGCTCAGAGGGGAACGACGCATCCCTGAGATCCTGACGTCTTACTGTTTTGAGCCGAGCGTGTTCGCCTAGATCGATCCGGGTCGAATAGTGGCGCAGAAAGATGGGGTCCAGGGTCCAGGGCTTCGGTCGTTTTGTTGTTGTTGTTGTTGTTGTTGTTGTTGTTGTTGTTGTTGTTGTTGTTGTTGTTGTTGTTGTTGTTGTTGTTGTTGTTGTTGTTGTTGTTGTTGTTGTTTTTCCGATGTTGCACTTTTTTCGTGACGTCGGATCTCAGGGATTATACTCTTGATGCCCGTGCCCTTCCCTGGTTTTCGTTTTTTCTCGGCCTCCTGAGAGGGTGCCCTCGTCGCCACAGCCAGATTCGCTTCTGAATCCTTGTCAGAGGGCTCCCCTGCGGAGAAGGGAGCAGCGGTATCGCTCAGTGCCCCCCCCCCCCCCCCGAAGTGCCACTTGCGCTTGCCCTGCTGGGCCGTTGCGATCATCCAGCACGGCCTGTCACCGACTCTGCAGCGGCAGCAGCTCGGAGGGTGTCAGGATCCACCCCGCCGGTCCTTGCCGGGACGATCCTGGGTCCAGGATCGGCCTAGCCAGGATTGGTGAGGTAGGCAGTCCCAGACATCCGGCGAGGTGTTTTGTTCACAGTCGACGTCCTTCCCGCCGACACGTGTTCTTTACCCAGCGTGGATCCACAGAGGTATAGGCCCCTGCCTCAGGGCCGGCTTGGCGTCCCGAGTAGTTTCGACAGTCCCGGGGGTCCATCGAGGGCCCCGAGATGCCAAACATCACGAAAGCCTACGTCTTGTTTTTTCAACCTCCGTGTTGATCTGTTGCAGTACGTCGGATGTCGAGGGAGGTGGGCATCGTGCGCCAAGATCCCGAGGCCATCGACGTGCTCGACGAGGCTGGCGCGCGCGTGCAGCTGAGGCAGCTGGCGAGGATGCCGGAAGCCGCGAAGGAGGTCCGCGGGGAGATCCGGGAGGTGCAGGAGCAGAAGGATCGGGGCACCTCGGCTATCCAACTCACCGATCCTGGGCGGGCCCATCCTGGGCTCAGGATCGGTGTAGCCAGAAATCCCACTTCTTGATTTTGTCAGCACGAGTTCCCGGCAGTCCCGACTCTTCTTCCCAGGGCCGATGTTTCATCCCGAGTAGTTTTTGACGGTTCTGGGGATCCGACGGGACCCAACGTAAATCCGACGTGGATCCGACATGAATTGAGTCTCAAGTTGCCGCGCGAGGCCTCCAGGATTTTCCTCGTAGTACGAAGTGAAATTCCACCTGCTCCCGGGCCCTGGACTCCTCACCCACTTGTTCCTTAACGAGTGCTCGGCCACGCGCAGAGGGGGGGAGGGGGGAGGGGGGGAGGCTTCTTATGAGGAGGCTTCCTCTCAGAAGGCGCGGGCCCTGTCTGTAGATGCAAGGCCCGCGCCTTGTGAGAAGCGGCCTCTTTCTAAGAAGCCTTTCCCCATCTCCCCCGCTTTACCCCCTTGTGCGCGCCGCCAAAGTGCCCCTCGCCGTAGCCTCGTGCATGCGCCGATCCCAGGCACGGGATCGGCACCAGCCAGGCCCAGCGCTTGGGGGGCGGCCGCCCTCCCCCCCCCCCGGCCAGGAGAAGGCCGTGCGCGCGCAGGACTACGCCGCCGCGGCCGAGCTGCGGGACAAGGAGCCGCGGGCCGGAATCCGTTTTTTTGTCGCTGATGGCGCACCATTCGGCAGCGGGCGCAGGGCGGAAGGAGAAGGGGCGGGCGGGCCTCATCAGACGGCTCGGGAGTCCCCCGGCCTTCTGAGAAGTTTGCTAAGCCTTCCCCGAAGACACAGAAACCCTCTCAGAAGGCCGGAGTGCTTCTGAGAAGCCCCGCCGCCTTCTGAGGAGGCCTTCTCCCTCTCACTTACCCCCTTCGCTCGCCCCGCCGAAGTGAGGGCACACCATGTTTTCCTTGATGGCGACGCATTGTTGCCGAAGGCATGTCTTCCCTTCAGTGAGCTCGCCGCCGCCAGAGAGTTTTGCCTTCAGCGGGCTCACTGCCGCCATCATGCTGCAAGCATGCCGTCGCAGGCATTTGGCTGAGGAGCGCTCCAGCGGGAGCGCGACGCGTCCCTTGCCCCAGGAGGTTGACGCAGCTCTCTCTCCAATCATCCAGAGCCTGGCGCCCCCCCCCCAGGACCTTCGTGTCCCATCCGTCGGAGACGGAAAAGCTGCACACGCGTGCACCTTGGGGGGGGCGGCCGAGAGGGGGGTGATCACCAGGGGTGGGTGGGTATCATGGCTGGGGCCGTGATATCTGCCCGCATATCGTACCCCGCCTTCTCTTTTTTCAATGCGTTCCTTGGCCCCCCCTGGGCCGCGCACGAGCCTCGGGCCATGAATTGCGCCACCTCTTGGACGCTCCTGGTACGGCGGGGGCGTTCGTTAAGGAATGTGCCAGGAGGCTTCAGACCCTGGACGAGTTTCCTTCTCTGAGGAGGGCGGCGGCTTTATCAATGGCCAATCCGCGATTGGAGCTCCACCAGCTTCCAGACCTTGGATTCCTGATCCAATGGTCCCTTACAGCCTGCGGCAGAAGAATTTGACACGGACGTGCACACGTTTCCGGACGGGGTAGTTACGTGCGCATCATATCGACAACATCCCCATGCAGTCACATCCGACGCACGCCGAGCCGACGTGGGCCAACACGTTCATTCAAGTTCTGCGACGCTTGGTGCGCCTGGGCGGCGGCCTCTCCATGCTCGAGCCACCTTGAGACTTTCCGACCCCTAACCCAGTATTGTTATGAGTGGGTGTCGGACGGGTCTCGAAATCTGGATACATGGCACACATTTGCACGCCAGGTGGCTCCCGACGGCGGTCTCAAGCGGTTTAAGTTTAAAAGTACCCCAAAACCTTTGGCACCCAACACATCCGCGAGCCTCACGCGGCCTCAAAGTTCAACGGAACCGTTGGCGCCGAGCGCATCCGCACGCCCTTTGCGGCCTTTGGTGCCGCGAAGCCCTCAGCGCCGAGCGCGCCAACGCGTCTCACGCGGTCTGAACGTGACACGAAACCCTCCCTCGGCGCAGAAGATGATAGGCGGAAGACTTCTATACACCGACATGCTCGCAGGGCGTTCTTCCGCGTCAGCCAACTCCACCAGACCAGAAGCAACATACATAGGAGACCCATGAAGAATACGAACATCAACGGCCCTCATCAACCCTGGTGCCCAGCCACCGCGATTGGGGCGCACCTGCGCGAGCCGCGCACACGCGGTACACGGGGGGCTAGGCAGCCCTGCCAGATTTGGACAGCCCCGTCGCCTTGTCCACCGAAAGTCCCCAGTCGCATCGGTGCATGATTTCGCCTTCTCTAGAGAGACGGGAATTCGGAGAAACCGTTGTAGGACATCAGATGCTGACTGCACGTGCTTGCAAGTGGCTGCGCTGCATCGTCTCTTGGAAGTTACGATTTGCATGTTACCCAGGGGAGGCGGAAGCAGTGCCCACGGCACCTTGGCGAGCGCGCGAGTCATGATGCTCTTCGCGCCTTGGCTCCTTCAGCGCCTATCAGTGTTGGGAAGACCATGTCGGTGCATGGATTCCTCTCTCCGAGAACACATCCGCGCCTTTTGAATGGCTTCAAAGCGACGCGAAACCTCGGCGTCGAGGACATCCGCGAATTCCACGAGGGGCCCAACGTACAACAAAACCGTTGTGTCGCACCTTGTTTCGAAAAGCCACGCTTCTTACTACACATCGTATCCCTGACGCACTCGCTGGTCAGGGAAACGCGTAAGCATGCCATACTGCACGCTCGCAACAACCACGCATGCAACCATGTAGAATTTGGGCGGAGGCAGACGGTACATACCATTGGAACGCTTACGTAGACGCCGCGAAAAGTACGGGCCCGACCCGGGCGTGGAATCCATTTCCAAGCATTTCTTCTCTGGCTGTATCCAATGCCTTCACCGTGTTGAGGTCCGCGCGGATTGTTTGAGTCGGCGCCAGGCGCTCATCCCTGGCTCGTCAGGCGCGCCGCGGGCGGCGCAGCGCGGATTCACGAAGCCCGCGTGGAGATTCAAAAGTTTACGCTCATGCCGTCCTTTGTTCCTCTAGTCCCCCCCCTCCCCTTCCCGCTCCCCCTCCCTACTCCTTCTGCGCCCCCATCTCCTCCTTCTGCGCCCCTTCCTATTCCTCCTTCTGCGCCTCCTCCTCCTCCTCCTCCTCCTCCTGCTCCTCCTCCTCGTCCTCCTCCTCCCCCTTCTGCGCCTTCTTTCCTCCCCCGCCCGCTCCCCAACCCGCTCCCCCTCCGCACTCCCACCTCTCCGCTCTCCCTCTCTCCCGTCTTCTCCTGTGCTCGTGCCCCGTTCCCGACCCCGTCGCCGGCACCCTCCGGTTCCGCTCGCCGCGCTTCCGCCTCCCCTGTGCATTTCCTCCACCCTCTCCTTCCACCATGCCCCGCTTCCTCCTGCTCCTCCTCCTGCGCCTCCTCGCTCGGTTCCTGCTACTGTCTCTTCTCTTCCTCCCCCTGTGCTGCTGCTGCTGCCCCTCCTCCCTTCTCCTTCTCCTGCCCTTCCTCCTCCCTCCTCCCTCTTCTCTTCATCCTCTCTCCTGATTTGCCTCCTCTCCCCCCCTCTCGAAGCTGCTTGCGTCAAGTTCCGCCACCGTACCAGCGCAGCACTCTGTGAGGCGACGCTTCGAGCACCGCCCAGAAGGCATTATCATGTGACGTATATCTCGTCTCTGTTATTCGAGGTGATCTTATAAGGACTACTTGGTCCGTCTTGGGGCTGCTTTGGTCTCCTTGGTGCAGTCTTGGGGCGGCTCTCTTGGGACCCTTTCGGGCCGTCTTGGGGTCCCTCTCGAGTCTCTTGGAGCTTCTTGGGGCCACCTTGAGGGCCTTCCTGGGCCGTCTTGGAAGCCTTAGAGCCTCCGAGAGCCCCCGGGGGACGCGTCGGGCGCGAATGGGATCCGGGTAGGGGGTGCGCGCAAAACTGCGTGACAGGGGGCTGGCCTCCAGAGACTTGCAGAAGCCCTGCCAGACAGCACCTGACATTATTCGTGGAAGAAACAACGGCGTAAACACGAGTTTCTGGAGCTCCGCACGGATTGTTCGGATCGGCGCCCCCCCCTGGCAGCGCCTCTGGCGCCACCCAAGGCGCGCTTCACGTGCTATGGAGGGGTGTCCAGCGCAGATCCGTGAAATCCGCGCGGACTTCCAGAAGTTTATGTTCGAGCCGTTTGTTTGACGTTTCTGGCGCCGTCGGTTCACTGGTTTCGTTTCCCCTGGTGGGGGCCTGGTCCAGATCGCAGCATTTTACCGGATCCGACACTGTTTTCGAAACCAGTTCCGAACGTCCATCGCACCCCCATATTGCCCAGGCCTTTTCGGTGAACCATTCGTTTTTACAGTTTTGGCGAACCGGTTCTCTGCCGTTTTCATAATTCAGAGTCAGCTTTTGGCAAGCGCATTACAGTCAACGCCCATGGTAATGTTGAGTGACATTCCCATGGGTACCCATGCATCCTTGCCTTTTCGGCTTTTCCCTCGACAGTCCGTAGCTCAAAGGACTTCAACGAGGGCGCCCAAGGGGCTTGCATCCTTATCGCGCATCCTTGTTGCACGCGCTGTCTGTAAAAAGCTGTCTTGCCGTTTCCGGGGCCCCAGCACGGCGCAGCTTCTCCACGACCCGCCTTCCTCCCTGCCGGCCTGGGGTCTGGCCAGGGGCGTCCCCCTCGGGCGACGACGAGACCCATAGCCTATGGGTCTCGTCGTCGCCTGGCATTGATAGGGTACCTAGTCGTCGTCTCGCCCTAGTGGATACCTATGATCGTCTCGTCGTCGTCGTCGTCGTCTCGCCCTAGTGGATACCTGTGATAGGTACCCACCGCCCCCCTGGCTGGGCCCACGCCGTGCCCCAGGATGAGGTGCAGGGGAAGTTGGTGCCGTGTCGACGCGGCGGCGACCCCAGTGCGGGCGTTCGAGGTCGAACGCCGCCGGGGCCCCAGAGTCGATCGACATCAACCAACACACACACACACAAAAAAACACACACACACACACACGCAACACAAGACACATCCGTGTGTTTTGTGTTGTGTGTGTGTGTGTGTGTGTTTTGTTGTGTGTGTGTTTTTGTGTGTTTGTTTCCCACATCCGTTTGATCGGAGTTCCGCGATCGTTCAAGTTTGAGCGATCCTCGTCACGACACGAACCGGCTGCAGATGTCTCCCTGGCCAGGCCAGGGGGGCGTATACGCCGCTACACTGGACCCAGGATGGGCCTGGCCAGGGGCGATGGACATGTACCCAAACATCATGGTTTGACTTTTTTGTGATATGTGGTCCCCTGCAGCCCCGACCCTCTCCCCAGGGCCGGTTTTTCATTCCGAGCCGTTTTTGAACGGCCCAGGGGCCCGGCGAGGGCCCCCGGTGGCCCAGAGGCCTAACGGCCAAAAGCTTCCCGTCGTTCTCTTCCACAGCTTGGGCGTGTGTGGGTTTTTGGATGTCGCTGCCCCACCTCCGAGCCCTCGAGAGGAGACTGGGCTGCGGGCCCAGCTGAGGGACGTGCTGCAGGTCGCGGGCGAAATGCATACCCGCAGCCGCGGCCTCCTGGGCCGGGCCCCTGCGCAGCGACACCGCGCATGCGGGGCGTTCTCTCGCGGCTGCCCCGCGCGGGGCGTGCTCGTGCGACCGCGTGTCCGCGGGATCTCGCCCCCGAATCCGGACCACGATGGCGCGGACACGGACATGCTCGCCGCTCGTGAGCAGGCCGAGGCGGCGGCGCCACGGGCAGAAGGCGAGGACGCGGCCACGGGCGCCGCCGAGGCGAAGGAGCGCGCCCTGCGGAGCACCTGGGGCGCTGCGGGCACTTCCCCGCCCTCGGGGAGCGTCCGTCCCCTCCCCCCGCGGCCCCCTGCAGCCGCGTACCAGAGGTCCCTCTCGCCTGGGGCCGCTCCTTGCGTGCAGCCGAGTGAAGCGTCGGCCAGTCCGCCGAAGCTCGGCGGAGGGCCGGTGGGTGGCGGCGGGAGTGAGACTCGGCGACCACAAGGGTCTAGGCCTCCCAGATTGGGTCGGAGCGGACAGGGGTCGGAGGATCGCGCCGCATCGCCGATGTATTGACGATGTGGCTCGATGTAGCCCGATTTTCTCCACGCCGATAGTGCTGGCGCACCACGTTTTGCCAAAGGTTAGATGAGCCCTTGTCGGGGCGCGGCGGAGAACTCTGTCGATGTCATCGCCCGCCCCCCATGGCGCGGGCTGCAAACCGCACCCTTTGCAAACCTCACTAAGGTCGCCCACGTGGGGGTCCCATCTGAGGGTCAGATCGTGGCGGGGGGACGCGGGTTCGAGGTTCGCGGTTCGTGGTCTCTGGGGTTCTATTGCCTTTGCGGGGTCTCCAGAGGGCTTCTCGCCACCACGGCTGGAATCCCTTCGAGATTCTGGTCAAAACGCACTCCAGGCTGGATCCGAGATGCAATTTCGACCCCCGAGTCAGGAGTCGCCATGAAGAACAGGGGGTAAGGGATATTTGTGGGTTCGTTTTCGGGTTGGACGGGATGGAACAGGGATGGGAATGGAAGGGAGGTCTCACATAAGGTCCTGGAGGAGAGAGGCCTTCGGGAAGAGGAGTTTGAGGAGGCACTCGACAGGAGTCGAAAGACCTTGTTGTTTCCCCACGATTCTGGAGTTCGGGAGGGCTTTGGAGAGTGACTTGGCAAGTGGCCTGTGTGGTAGTGCAAGACAGGGCTGCAGTGGGTTGGGCTGGGGCAGCGCGTTCTTCCCGCGTTCTTCTCCCGTGCGGGTGGCCCTGGCCTTACATCGGTTGTCCCACGGGCTTCAGTGAGCACGAGGAGTGGCTTAGCAGCTGGGAGTCGCTCGTGGAGGAGCCCGTGGTGACCGAGGACGACGTCGCGAAGGTGGTCTCCGTGTGGACCGGTGTCCCCGTCGAGAAGGTGCCCGCTCGCGCTGCCTTTGAAAATCGGCGTTGACGTCTTGCCCCGTTTTTGTTCCCAACCCTCCCCTGTCTGGGCACTCGTTTTGGATCGAGCACAGTGGTCGCGTCTCCTTCTTTCCTGCCTCCCCCTCTCTCTCTCGTCCTGTCTCCCACCTGTTTTCTGCCTGCCTCCTACCTCGCCATCCCTGGGGGGGCTGCGATCTGCGAAGGCGTCGCCACCTTCGAGGGCTGTTGGGAGGGCCAGCGCAGTGGGTATCGAGCGCAGACTCATATTAGACCTCGCCGTCTTTGGGGGGCTGCGCCCTGCGAAATTGTCGCCACTTTCGAGGGCTGCTGGGAAGGCCAGCGTAGTGGGTTACCGTACGCAGACTCAGATTAGACCTTGCCATCCCTGGGGGGCTTCGGTCTGCGAAACTCTCGCCACTTCCGAGAGCTGCTGGGAGGGCCAGCGCAATGGGTGCCGAGCGCAGACTCAGATTTGACCTCGCCATCTCTGCTGGGAAGGCCGGCGTAATTAGTGGGTCGCGGGCGCAGGCTCAGATGAGACATCGCTACTCTTGGGGTGCTGCGGTCTGCGAAACTGTCGCTATTTTCGAAGGCTGCTGGAAGGGCCAGCTTGTTGGGTAGCGAGTGAAGACACATATTAGACCGCGCCATCCCAGGGGGCCTCCGATCTGCGAAGCTGTCGCCATTGTCGGGGGCTGCTGGGTGGGCAAGCGTAATGGGTACCGAGCGCAGATTCAGATATGACCTTGCCATCCCAGGGGGGCTGCAGTCTGCGAGAGTGTCGACACTCTCGAGGGCTGCTGCGAGGGTCGGCGTAATGGGTAGCGAGCGCAGAATCAAATTAGATCTCGTCGTCCCTGGGTGGCTGCAGTCTGCGAAAGCGTCGCCACCCAGTGGGGGCTGCGATCTTCGAACTTGTCGCCATTTTCGAGGGCTGCTGGGGGCGTCCTGCGCAGTGGCGCAATCTATCTCTCTCTTTCTTTCTTTTTTTCTCTCTCTCTCTCTCTCTCTCTATATATATATTCATATATATATATACATGTGTATATATATACGTATATATATATATATATGTATATATATATGTAGGTATATGTATATACATGTGTATGTATATATATATATATATATATATATCGCCGGGTCCCCTCCCAGGGTGTCCTCCACTTCGCTCACATCTCGATTAAGCTCCCAGTACTGCGCTTCCGGGTCTCCCGGGGAGTCCCCACAATGCCCAAAGACAGCCCAAGACGACCCCAAGCAGCCCCCAGAACGTAAAAGAATTGCCCAAGACGCTCCCAAGCAACCTAGGATGGCTTTCGGGCGGCTCTCCAGGCTCCTAGGAGGCCTCCAAGAGACTTCAAGAGAGCTCCGAGAGGCTTCCCGAGAGCGCCCGGAGAACCTAAAATCTATATTCTTCATTGTTTTTTCAAGCTTTTTGGCCTTCTCACCATTTCATGCTTCCAACGCTCCAACACGGCCGCAGAGGCGCCAAGACCGCCCCAAGAACGCCCAAGAGGCCCCCAAGACGGCCCCAAGACGGGCCAAGACGGCGCCAAGACTGCCGAAGAGGCGCCCAGGACCACCCCAGAACAGGCCCAAGATGAGCCCACGAGCGGGAGCAGAGCAGGAGGCCTCCAGAGACCTCCGAGAGGACGCCGGGACCCCCCAGAGGCCTCCAACACACCCCAGGTCCTTGAGAGGCCCCCGAAAAAGGCACCGACGAGGCCCCCCAAACAGCCCAAGAGAGCTTCGAGAGCCGTCCCGAGAGAGCCCGAAGAGGGTAAAATCGTTGGTTTCCAGTTGCTTTTGTTGACGTTTTTCGCCTTCTCACGTTTTCCCGCTTCCAACGCTCCAAGGCCGAGGAATTTGAAAAAGGAGAGGGAATTCCAGAGATTCCCTTTTTTCAGGTTGGGACTCCTGCTCCTTATCCTCTTCTTCGACCCCCATCAAGACTTCGGAGTCACATGTAAAGATGTTTCGGGACCATGGTTGAACTCTCTGACGATGTCTTGGCACTCTCTTGGATCGTCTTCGCGTCCTTCTTTCTGCCCCTGAAGCCACCGTAGAAATCGAGATCCCATGATCCCATGAGTTGAACAAATAATTTCGTTTTATTTCAAACCAGCTGCTTATTTTTGCACGAAGATCCTGAGAGGCATCCCAACGGACCGTGGCCTGTATCCAGAAAACCAGCCCAGGCACGGCAACAGGAAAAACATGGAAATCCCACAATCCCCTTTTTCCCAACCATCCTGTGGTGTTGGGTCCTCGTTTTGAAGAGACGGTCCCCGCGTTCCTCCTCCTCCTCTCCTCCTCCTCCTCCTCCTCCTCTGCTCCTTCTCTCCTCCTCCTCCTCCCCCTCCTCCTTCCTCCTCCACCTCTTCCCTGCGTTTCACCCAGCCAGCACAGCATTTCGTAGCCCCATAGGGAGCTCCAGCCAAATTTCCATGTCTACCGTTCACATGCGTCCCCCCCCACCCAGTACAGCGTTTCGTGCCCCTCCTCCCCCTCCTCCCTGCGTTCTACCCACCCAGTACAGCGTTTCGTGGCCCCATAGGGAGCTCCACCGAAGGTTCCAGGTCTACCGTCCGCATGCGTCCCCCCCCCCCCCCAGTACAGCGTTTCGTGGCCCTCCTCCCCCCTCCTCCCTGCGTTTCACCCACCCAGTACAGCGTTTCGTGGCCCCATAGGGAGCTCCACCGAAGGTTCCAGGTCTACCGTCCGCATGCGTCCCCCCCACCCAGTACAGCGTTTCGTGGCCCTCCTCCCCCTCCTTGCGTTTCACCGACCCAGTACAGCGTTTCGTGGCCCCATAGGGAGCTCCACCGAAGGTTCCAAGTCTACCGTCCGCATGCGTCCCCCCCACCCAGTACAGCGTTTCGTGGCCCTCCTCCCCCTCCTCCCTGCGTTTCACCCACCCAGTACAGCGTTTCGTGGCCCCATTGGGAGCTCCACCGAAGGTTCCAGGTCTACCGTCCGCATGCGCCCCCCCCCCAGTACAGCGTTTCGTAGCCCTCCTCCCTCTCCTCCTTGCGTTTCACCGACCCAGTACAGTGTTTCGTGGCCCGTAGGGAGCTCCACCGAAGGTCCCACTGGCACCGTCCGCATGCGCCGGCCACCGCCCAGCACAGCCCTTGCTCCCTTGCGTTTCGCCCACCCAGTACAGCGCTCCGTGGCCCCAAAGGGAGCTCTTCCGAAGGTCCCAGTGGCACCGCCCGCATGCGTCAGCCACCACCCAGCACAGCCCTTGCTCCCTGCGTTTCGCCCACCCAGTACAGCGTTTCGTGACCCCATAAGGGGGCTCCAGCGACGGTCCCAGTGGCATCGCCCGCATGCGTCCGCCACCACCCAGCACAGCCCTTGCTCCCTGCGTTTCGCCCACCCAGCGCAGCGCTCCGTGGCCCCATAGGGAGCTCCACCGAAGATTTCAGTGGCACCGCCCGCATGCGTCAGCCACCACCCAGCACAGCCCTTGCTCCCTGCGTTTCACCGACCCAGTACAGCGCTTCGTGGCACCATAGGGAGCTCCACCGAAAAAGATATTCATAATTGCGGTACTCACAGCTGCATATGGTTGGGTCCTTCGCCATGCTAATTTTTCAAGTTCGTCCCCTGTCTACTCTTGCACAACAGACCACAAGCAAGGCCCCTCTTAGCTGCCAGAACAGAAACCAGGAAGCCTTTGAGGGCCCCAAATCGTTGAATACCTAACGGAAATGAATTATTCCCGCGTTTCCGCTGTTCCCCTCCTATACGTTTCCGAGGCTTGCGCAGGGCCTCCTCATGGATGATGATGGTGATGATGATGCTGCTGATGGCGATGATGTTGACGATGATTATGATGATGATGACGATGATGACGATGATGATGATGATGATGATGATGATGATGATGATGATGATGATGATGATGATGATGATTATGATCATGATGATGAGAACTAGGATGAGGATGATGATGTTGATGATGATGATTCTGATGATGATGCTGATGATGATGGTGGTGGTGATGATGGTGATGATGATGAATCTGATGAGAAGCTGATGATGATGGTGGTGGTGGTGGTGGTGGTAGTGACGATAATCATGCTGGTGATGATGATGCTGAGGATGACCATGATGCTGATAATGATGCTGATTATGATGATGGTGATGATGATGCTGATGGTGATGATGATGATGGTGATGATGATGATGCTGATGATGATGATGATGATGATGATGATGATGATGATGATGATGATGATGATGATGATTTCGAGGATGAGTAGGAGGAGCAGGAGGAGAACAGATCAGGAGGGACTTGAGGAGGGATGGTGATGATGAGGAGGAGGAGGAGGAAGAGGAGGAGGAGGAGGACGACGAAAATGAGGAGGAGGAGGAGGAACATGAGGAGGAGGAGGACGAGGAGGAGGACGAGGGGTGAGGTGAGCAGGCATCTTGCGGTCTCTTTGGGGTCTCTTTGGGGAGATTGCGGGGACCTCTTCGGGAAGCCGTCTTGCGAGGTGGTCCCGCCCGTCTCACCCGAGACATCCTCGCAACTCTGAGCTCCGAGGGGCCTTGCGCGAGGTGGTCTGGCCCGTTTCGTCGGAGACGTCCTCGCAAATCTGGGTTCCGAGATTTCTTGCAAGAGGTGGCCTGGCCCATTTCGCTTGAGACATCCTCGCAACTCTGAGCTCCCAGGTGCCGCGCGCAAGGTTGTCCTGCCGTTTCGCCTGAGACATCCTCACAATTATACACCGTCGCGGCTAACGGTGAAATGTTGCAGCGGGGAAATCCTACACAGTAGCGGCTAATGGTGTAATGGTGCAACTGTGCAGTCCAACACCGTTGCGGTTAATGATGTGATGGTGTAGCGGCGTAGCCCGACACCGTTGCGCTAACGGTGTCACGGTGTAACGGTGTAGCGTCACACCGTTGCGGTGTAACGGTGTAGCGGTGTAACGGTGTAGCCCTACACCGTTGTCGGCTAATGGTGTAACGATGCACCGGTGTAAGCGAAAATTAGCGACCCTGATTTTCCCAACGCAGTGTTTCATTATGAGCGCCTTCCATCCAGTGGCCAAGAGAAACGCAATAACCAGAGAACGTGTAGGCAGCCCTGCATCAAGCCCGACTTTCTCCGACGTGTTCGCTCAAAGCACGTGCAAACGAAACTGCTTGTTCAGAGCACGTGCAAACAAAACAACCGGTCGGTACAGAACCGCCAGCGCCATATGGGCAAGCGATGCGAATGGCGATGGGGTTTGCAAACCGAAGGCCCCCGAGAGCATCGACGATCCTCAGGACGTGGTGCTGGCCATCATTGCCCGCGTCGCATTGAAGGGATTCGGTGGTCAAGTGCACGCCGGCGCTAACACTGTAGCACACGTTGTGAGGACCGCCGAGAGCAGAACACAGACGATGGGAGTCGACAGTTTTGTGAGGGAACCTTGGATTAAGATGGACCTCCAGGGAGGTTTGAAGCAGCTTCGGCGTTGGTAGATTCGCTGCCGAGAACAGGCATAATCTGGCATAATCCCGTTAGATTTCGCTGAATCGGCCTAGGATGGTTTACGCCTAATACGCTCCATTCTTTGGGGCTACAATCAAACGAACCTGGCGTAATGGTTTCATTTGGTTTACTAACCCCTCACTCGTTCTGACGAAGGCCTCCCATAAAGTTGCCTCCGAACTCGGAGCCAGGTGTCCTCGGACGAGTCGGCGCGCCTGGTGCAGCTGGAGGACACCCTCCACAACCGCGTTATCGGCCAGGAGGAGGCCGTGACCGCCATCTCCAAGGCCGTGCGCCGCGCTCGCGCGGGGCTGCAGAACCCGAACCGGCCCATCGCGTCATTCATCTTCTGCGGGCCGACAGGCTCAGGGGCAATATTAGGCGGGGAGGTTTTCGGCCTCGCAGGTTTTCGAAGGCTTTCGGAGGTTCTTGGAGAATGTCGGGGCCAGGGGTGGTTTCCACCAGTTGCGCTTCCTCGAGAGCCTTCCTAGCCCAGATCGTCCCGAACGGCCTCTGGTTAAGAGCAGAGTTATGGTCCGAAAACCAAGGGGCAATTTTTGGCGGTGAGAGGCTCATGGGGGGATGCATCGACCTCCCGATCGCCAATTCATCGCCGATCAGCGGCTGGATAGCCTACCCCCGCCCAAGAGCGTTCGGATGTGCTATCGGCGCCTGTTTATCCGCGATGCATTGCCAATTTCATGTCCATGTTTCCTCCCCTGGGCCGGTCCCCCCAGTGATCCTCGTCTGTTGGTCTTCGGGTCATAAGTCAGGTCTCCGGCGGCGGTTCGGGGCGACCCAGGAACCCCCAGATCGCTCTCGACAAGGCGCAGCCGCTGGAAAGCTCCCGGAGGCCAGAAAGCAGCCGAGAACCGACTAACGCCCGAAATCCTTACATTTCATCTCGAAACGTCGAGCCAGTCCACTCACAGGCGTGGGCAAGACAGAGCTGTGCAAGGCCTTGGCCTCTGCCTACTTCGGCTCTGAGGAGGCGATGATCCGCCTGGACATGAGTGAGTACATGGAGAAGCACACGGTGGCCAAGCTCATCGGCAGCCCGCCCGGCTATGTTGGGTACGACGAGGAGATCGCCATGAAGCAAACGGGTCTTAACCGAAACCGGCGTATAGGTCTTCTGCTGTTTTCTTTCTCCCCCGGGCCCTTGACAGGCCCTGGGACCATCCAAAAATCATTCAGTATGAAGAGCTGATCCCGGGGGAGCGCCCCGGGGTCCAGGATTCGTTTCCCTCGGGACTCTTTTCTTCATGCCAAGGAGAGCCAGCTCTGCGATGGGGTCCGGCGAAGGCCATACACCCTGGTCCTTTTCGACGAGTGCGAGAAGGCGCACCCCGATGTATTCAATCTGATGCTCCAGATCCTGGAGGATGGACGTCTGACGGACTCCAAGGGCCGGCTTGTGTCGTTCAAGAACACCCTGGTGATCCTGACCTCCAACTGTGGTGCCAAGGAGATCGAGAAGCTGATGCTCGGTAACGGCGAGGTGGGGTTCTCGTCGGGCGAGACGCTGGACGGCCCCTCGAGCGGCGGCACGAGTACTTCGTTTTACCAGAACCTCAAGTCGAAGGTTATCGACCAGCTCAGAGACTTCTTCAAGCCCGAGTTCCTCAACAGGCTGGACGAGGTGATAGTGTTCAAGACTCTGTCGAAGCTTGAGGTCGGGGAAATTGCGGAGCTCGAGTTCAAGAAAACAATGAAGCGTTGCGACGAGAGGGGGATCCGGTTGTCGAGGAACAAATACGGCATAAACAGCAATTTTTGGAGCTCCGCGCGGATTTATAGGATTGGCGCTGGGCACCCCCGTCCCTGGCGCGCTTCGCGCGCCAGCGAGGGGGGTTCAGCGCAAATCCAAGAACTCCTCTCGGCGTCCTGGATGTCTATTTTCAGACCTCCAGGCATGCGGCGTCTTGATTTTTTCATTGCGCGGCTCCCCGAAGCCCCGACCCTTGCATCAGGCCAGCTGTTCATCCCGAGCTGATTCGTTTGCGGTCTTGGGGCCCGGCGAGGGCCACCGGAGGCCGAAAACGGCACAAACACCAATGCGTCGCATTTTGCCGTGCGACGCGAGCATGCCTGGGCCAGTTTGTTTTCCTTCGAGGTTGTCTCTGACAGATCGCTTCAAGTCGCTGTGCGTCGACGAGGGGTACAACCCTGTGTACGGGGCTCGCCCGCTGCGCCGAGCCATCATGCGGCTCCTGGAGGACAAGCTGGGGCAGTGGGAAGAGGGGAGTGTTTTCGTTATTCCACGGTGGGCTCCACCTCCACGCACTCCCACCACCAAGATCTCCAGGAAGAAGATGAGGTGGATGAGGCACACAACGAACAGCGGCACGAGAGTGACGCACAGCTCCCAGCAGTAGTATACGTGAAAGAAATGTGCATCCAGGAGACGCCGACGCCCCGAATAGCCTGACGGACAAACACGATGACGCACACCAGCCAGCCACGTACAGCCCGTAAAAATATGCCGAGCCAGGAAGCTGCATCCAGCATGCCGACCACCATGAAGGCAACGTGCAGGGCAGAACACAAGAGCCCATTCAGTTCCTGTCTTCTTCGAAGTGTAACCACATGCGCTTCGGATTCGAGAAAAGGTACCCCTCCCCAGGATATGGTGGCAGACCGCTTGGTGCCCAAACAATATCCCTAGAGCCTGAGTTGTGCGCACCTCCTGTCGCACCGCCGCCACCGAGAGGGAACGCGCAAGGGAGATGATGCGCCTCTTGTCCAGCAACCAGAGTCCCATGAGTCTCTCTGGCTGGGCAGTGCTTAGGGCGGTCTTTTCCACAGTCTGCTGGCCCAGGCCCGACCTGGACACGAGGGCCCCAGCTGCGAGGCCGTGTTCGGTCGCGTCGGCGTGAGCAGAAATTTGCGCACAGCACACACTCGCAGCCACCCCGCAGGGCACAGATCCCCTGCAGGGGCTCTCGGAGAGAAGGGGCCGTCGGGGCTGCCAGCGGCACTGCCTCCAGTGCCAGGAGGATAGTCGGCTTGCAGCGGCTCTCGACGCTGGGCACGCGGATGTGCACCTCTCGAGTGCAACCACTCCGAGGGCAGGACGCCTAAAGACGGCGCAGAGGAGGCAGTAGAGCAGCACGACGTCGTCGAAGCCGGCTCCCACGCCACAGCCGGCGGAAGAAGATCCGCCATACGGAGCCGTTCGGCACCACGATTCGCTGCAGGATGAGGTCGGTCCCAACAATGCTTCGCGCGATTTGCCGAACGATGCACCCGAAGAGCGTCACGAAGAGCAGCATCCCCAAGCCGTGCATGAGCGGCAGCGTCGCGGGCAGAGTGGGCTGGTTGGCCAGCCAGCCGATTGTGGAGCGCGTGCAGCTCCAGGGACGCCACCATGCACGTTGCACGGTGCGCGAGAAACCGGGGCACCCGGAGGGGGACGGGCAAGAGAGAAAGAGGAGGAGGATGATGATGATGAGGAGGAGGAGGAGGTGGAGGAGGAGGGGGAGGAGGAGGAGGAGGAGGAGGAGGAGGAGGAGAAGGAGGAGGAGGAGGGGGAGGAGGAGGAGGAATTGGAGGAGGAGGAATTTGAGGATGAGGAGGCTGAGGAGGAGCGGAGGAGGCGGAGGCGGAGGCGGAGGCGGAGGCGGAGGCAGAAGCGGAGGAGGAGGAGGAGGAGGAGGAGGAGGAGGAGGAGCAGAAGGAGGAGAAGGAAAAGGGGGAGGAGGAGGAGGAGGAGGAGGAGGAGGAGGAGGAGGAGGAGGAGGAGGAGGAGAAGGAGGAGGAGAAGGAGGAGGAGGAGGCCCTTAACCATTTTGGCTTGATCCGTTTCGGCTCAACTTGCCAGATTCTCGCGAAGGCAGCGGACTCGCCGGTGGGTAGGAAGGCGGCGTAGCCTCGCCCATCAGTGCTGTTTTCTTTGTTTCAGGCCCCTCGGTGGGCCTCTCGACACGTCAGAACACGACTTTGGACCCGCCGTTCCTGGAGACATGGCGGCGCGCAGCTCCCGTGGAGCTCTCCAGCGCGCTCATGATTCTGAGTCTGACGGCAGCGAAGTGATCCGTCTCCAGGAGCGGTGGCAGCGCTCACAGCTGGCAGCAGCGTCGTCGGGCTCATCGGCAGGACCGCAGTGGTCGACATTGGGGGGATCCTGCTCATGTGCGGGCGCAAGCGGGTGCAGCCACCTTGGAGCCGGTCGACGCCACTGCGCGCTGTCAGTTGCTGGCCGACTTCGATGCCGCCCCGACGTTCCCGCCTCAGCCTACACCTGCCCCTTCCACCCCTGGACAAAACGACACTTGGGCGGCGGCTGCGGCAGCTCCTTGTGCTAGGCCCTCCCCTCACTCTCGACCTGCTGCTGCCAGTCTCCCCGATCAGCACTTCATCGGCGACAGCTCCGCCCAGGAGATTCGCCAATTCGTGGACCGCACGCGTAATGAGATCCCCAACTCTGTGCACGATCTGCAGCACACCGTCCAATAGGGCCTCCAACTCCTACGACGGGCTCGGCAAATACATAGGGACCAGGCTCGGCGCGGTGGAGCCCACGCAGCGCGCCCAAGGGCGAGAGATGGCCGAGCTGCGCGACAAGGTGCGGTAATTCAGAAGACGATCCTGGGAGCCTCTTATTGTCATTTGGCCTGGCTTTCCTGCGCCTCCAGTGGTCCACAGTCGTTTGCTCGCGCCACTGGAGGCCACTGGGGGCTACGGGAGGCCATCAGAGGCCATTGGAGGCCGCGGGGGGGGCCACTGGAGGAGACACTGGAGGCGGCTCTAGGCGTGGGGGGGGCCGCTGGGGTCCAATGGTGGCTATTGGAGGAGCCACTGCGGCCACTCAGGTGATTACGAAAGGCTCCTTGGAGCGTCTTCTGAACGGTAACCTTCGGGCAACTTCAACTAGCTGCGGGACGAGGTCCTTGAGGAGCAGCCACTGCAGGACCCCAGCTTCACAGGCAGGTCGATCCAACGGTGCATGCTACCGCGTCCACGGCGTTGGTGGCGCAAGGAAAATGTGCATGCGGCGCTCGCGTCCTTCCTGGAGCCTTCCTAGAGTCGTGCAACACGGCAGTGGGTGATGACTACAAGGCAGAGGGATATCCCACTGGGAAGCGCTTTGTCGTCCACTTCAAATGCGTCGTCAACTATGCGAGCCGCAAGGTTGGGCACTGGATTTGCGCGCCGCGGAAGCCCAACAGCCAGAGGCGGGACTTTTCCCGCGTGGGTGTCGACGGCGAGCGCACCCGCATCTTCGTCAGCAGCGACAAGACTCAAGGCACCACCAAGAGGGATATAGCCCTTCGCATCGCCTGGCGCGTGGTGGAGCGGTCTTATCCCAACATCAAGTTCTTCAGTGACAAGAACAAAGGCACCGTCAGCGCGAACTGGCTGCCCTGCCCCTCGTCCGCGCCCGGCCAGTCCTGAACGGCGGCCGGCCGACTATCGAGCGGGGCGCGGGAATCGCGCAGAATCTCGACCTGTCCAACGGCGTCTTGGCCCCCTGCTGGGCGATGCGCTGGCGGGCGTGGAAGCTGGGCCTGCTGAGTGGTCGGTTTACGTAGCACGCTCCCTGCCATCTGGTGGCCGACCGGCGAGTGCGGGACGGCGAGCTTCGTTTTTTTTTGTTTGGCTGCGAGCTGGGGCGCGCGTGCATTATTCCACCAGGACCGTGGCGCCAGGCTAAAGAAGTTGCGATATCTTGCGCGGCTACTCGGTGGAGCAGTTGTGCAAGAGGCGGGCTAGCGGTGGCTGGGTGGGGACTTACGCCATTGTGCGCGCGAGACGGACCACCCCGTCGCTGCCTATAATGCGATGGCTCAGCGGCACGCAGGTGATGCGCGGCCAGGTCGAGGCGTGAGATCGAGGTCGGTTTGGGGAGGGTGCCCTGCTGTCATTCGCGTTTGTTGGCTGCTCCTGTGCATCCAGGGGAGGCAGCCCTCGAGTGTCTTTACGTTTGGGCTGGTGGAGGGTCTCCTGTTCTTGACAGATCCTCGTTGTCCGAGGCCCGACCGTGCTAACTTTTTTTCGAGCTGCCTTGCCGGGCGCCAGAGGCTGCGGCTGTGCTCGTTCGGGGCCATCGGCCAGTTACAAAGAAGCGCGAGTTCGTTCCTGGCAGGGCACTGAACGTGCGATTGCGATCTAGCGGCTCCCTCTTCTCCGTCATTCACTAAATCGTCCACAATGCTGAATTTCCACAACCGTCTAGGTGTTGCTTCTTCGCCGGGATGTCGCGGCATCGGTGAATGGTGCCCGTGATGGTCCCACGCCTAGTAAAGTGTTCGGCATCTGGCACTCCCCAGCACTTGGCCATGTTGATGGGATTCGGAGGGCGCGTTCGGGTGCTCGGAGAACAGCCGCGGGCGACCGCGGGACATGAGCGGGGGCTCAGAGGGCGAGGGCGGGGTCTCGGGAGGCATCTGAGAGGGCCCAGAGGACTTCGCTGGGCACCCAGAGGACGCTATTGGTCGGCTGCCAAACTCAGCGCAATTGGACGCGGTCGGCCGCAGCTAGGTGGCTAGGCGGTTTTCCAGCAGTACGTGCTACAGCGAGCACCCAGAGGACCTCTGTGTGAATCCGAGGGCCTCTTCGGGGACTCAGAGGGTGGCGTTGGGCTTGCAGGGCCACCCGCGAGTTCCCCTCGAGGCGCGGGGCAACGTCGGGTCGCGTTTCTTGTGCGCGTCGCTTGAATGCGCTGTGAATGGCCCGCCCCGATGCCGCCGTGGCACCGGCGAGCTACGCGGCGCGGGCCGCGTCTTCTCGTCGGCCCCCGGCTGGGCCTCTCTCCAGATGGCCGAGGGGGGGATTGTGAAAGAGGGCCCGGCGGTTCCATGTGCCCGCGGCGTGTCCGATCACGTCGCAGTAGTCGCTGCCAGTCATCCGCGGAAGAGCAGACTGTCAAAGAGAGGCAGACATGCCCCCCCCCCCCGAAATAGTCAGGCATCTGCGGCGTGGTCTCTTCGGGTCAGCGTTGGGCGAGGGGGGCGGCGGCGGCGACTCGATGGCCCCTCTGTTGCGGCGCGAGCATTTTAGGATGCTCGCGCGGGAGGCGGCGCGGCGCGCTCTGGGCGCAAGCGTCAGGCTCGGCCCTGGCGGGCTTCGCGGTGATCGGGCGCATGTCGAGGGTGGCCGCGCGCCGGTGCTATCTTGCAGCGCGCCGTCCACGCCCGCCTCGCCTGCAGGCGCCCCAGTCCTCGAGTCAGACCGCGCGGGCAACGGCGCGACTCTCGCGAGGCCCGAGGGGGCCCTCGAGATCTCCGCGGGCCCCCGCCAGAACGCGAACGGGGGCGGGCCTCG